AAGTGAAGGGGAGTTCAAAATCAACCAGCCTTAGAAAGGCCCCTGTGGCTCCAAACCGGAGTAAGGGAGCCTTGAAAGGAAAGGGTTAAGGGGCGCCTGGGTGGCGCAGTCGGTTAAGCGCCCGACTTCAGCCAGGTCACGATCTCGCGGTCCGGTCCGTGAGTTCGAGCCCCGCCTCAGGCTCTGGGCTGATGGCTCGGAGCCTGGAGCCTGTTTCCGATTCTGTGTCTCCCTCTCTCTCTGCCCCTCCCCCGTTCATGCTCTGTCTCTCTCTGTCCCAAAAATAAATAAAAAACGTTGAAAAAAAATTTAAAAAAAAAAAAAAGAAAGGAAAGGGTTAATGAGGGGCACGTTAGAACATTTGCCTGACTAGGTTCTCCTCTGAATTGACACAGAAGCCTCAAGGGAGATGCTAAAGCTATTAAAAGGACATTAAGAAAACATTCTTGGCTTCCTTAGAAGCTTCTCCCTTAATGAGTCCAAACTAAATACATTTATAAACTGTACCCAAGGCTTTTCTTAGGTGAAGTATCCATATTACTCAGCATCTCTGGAGCCACAATGACATTTCTGGGAAGGAACAAACAGCTATTTCTTCATTAGTTTTTCACAATTGGTACGAATGCCAAAAGATGAAGAAAAATATTGAAAAAAAATCTATCAGTCACTTTAATTTTTCTGTACATGACTTTAATGTTACTGATGAGGCTCACATAATCTGGTTTCACATAGACAGACAGACTGAAAAACCACTGAGCTGGACTCCCATCTTACACTAACAATTCCCCACTAATCTTCACCATCTTCAATTAAGATTCCATCCTTTACCTTCCCCCACAGGCTTCTCCACAAAGCACCTTTAAACCTTGAGGCACCTGATTCCCCCAAGATCATCAGCAAGCATGGAATATTACTGGTGGGGTAAGTGGGAGAGCTAGCACTTTAATATTCTACGAAATGATCTGAGAAGCATTTACAAATATGCACCCAGCATTTGTCTCATGTATTTTGTTTTAAGTAATTCAAATGAAGATGGAGAAATAACAATCAATTTACAAGAAACAGCTAGGAAAAAAAACAAAACAAAAAAAAAAACAAGTCAGGAATTCCCAAGATGCCATAGCCAAGAGTTAGAAATTTTATCTAGGATCTTATGTTATTTTGGGGCCTGCAAAACAGAAAAAGCTTTGACTTGAGCTTACTTCTAAAGACCTCATTTGTGACCCTAACACTCACCATGCCAACCCCACTCCACTATATTTAACTAATCAAAGTTAGCTTACTAAGAGTTTGTAATATCATAAACATTAAACAAATATTTTATTGTTTGCATACTGGTTTGACAAGGAAAGACCGAGGGTTATAGGCTGAACAATATTTGAATTTGATTAATAAAAGTTCAGAGTACTAGAATAACCATTCAAAATTTTAAAAAGATATATAAAAAGAATATTTACTGCACAATATGAAATATTCACCTCTCTAAAAAGGCCTCTACTGAGATCCCAAAACAACATAGTTTAAAATATGAAGTCTGAAGGCCAGTGAAGGTCCTTACCAAGTTAAGAAAAACTGACATTCATGTGACATCAGTAGCACATGAGTAGCTGACACTTAATAAAGGGAGTAGATTCCAGAGTGTCCACAGCTCACATGCTTAGACCAGGAGGGGGAAAAACACACATACACATTAAAAAGTGAACAATTCCTTCTTAAGACCTCTAAACAAGAAGAGGAGAGTGCCGTTCTCAAACTATTTCCAATGATTAATACTGTGTTTTTCATTAAATGGGAATAAAGTTCTAAGGACCTCATTAGATCACTAAAAAGAAGCAGGTTTTAACCAAAACTACATATTGCCTCGCTGTAATATGACATTATACCTAGAAATCTCTGATATCCTGGAATTTTTAATGAATACTCCTAATCTCTTAACAATTTTTAAATGTCATAATATTCACCAAGATTGAATTATACATTTTAAGGAGGCAGAAGAGCACAGTGGCTAAAATCAGGCCTCCTTACTCACCTATACTTTCATTTTCTCACCACAGCCAGAAACAAAATATATCAATTACTATGATCGTACAGTACAGGTATTTGCAAAAGTGTTTTTTAATATTGAACAAAAAGCAAAGTGTTTCCTCTCCTTAAACATGACCTTTCCAGAACAGCCTAAGCCACTTAACTTGGGAGTAGGAAAACGTATCAGCCTAAATTAATCCTTTCCAGCTTCCACTGCATTGTTTAATCCAAAACCACCTTTTAAAAGCATATAGGTCACCACTTAAAGTGACAAAATATGAAATTAAACATTTCTCATCAATAGTGATCCTCTACTGTATTGTCAGAGATGGAATTCCAAATCACAACTCAAGCTTTTAGTCAAATTGACAATTACAATGCAAATATTCAGGCTCTGGTTTCTCAAGAATAGGGGTGGGAAGCAATCTTCCTCTCCTTCTTTCTTTGTAATTTTGTGCATTCTGCAAAGAAAGAGGAAAATAAGTACAGAAAATTTCTCTAATTTTCTCTTGTAAAAAAGAACAATTGTCTCTTCAGTACTATTCTTAAGCTCACCAGATGCAATTTGCTTGGAGAACAAATGTATAAAAATCAAGGTTTTAAAAAAAAGGCTACCCACATGCTGTATCTAATTATTCAACAAAGTATCCTCTTCAAAGTAATTACCAACTAACAAGGGTATGCCTCCTTTTGTGAAACGGAGAAAAACGGAACTTTAGAAAACAAAAGTAGATCTTTCTGTCAGCTTACATTATAATTTAAGGTTGCACTTTTTGCTCCTAATTTTCAATTGGCAGTGTCTCCTAATACTTAGGAAAAAATTTTAATCCATCAATTTATAAGAGTTAGTGATGTTCATGCACACATAAGTGCATTTGTAGAACACCATTTTTAGAGAAAACCATTTTGTAAAGAAGAAAGAAATCATTTTTTTAATTTTTAAGTTTTCTTGTTTTAATTTTTTATACTTTATATATAGATCTAAGACACATTTAAAGGGAATTTCAACAAATTAATTTTCTACAATGATAGTAATAAAACATCACCAATGTAATATAGTGAGAATTCACAAATCTACACCAACATTAAGAGAAAAAGCAAAGCCCTTCCACACAGTAGGAATCCAATTCATAAATGTAGAAAAAATGATGCAATGTGCAAAAAAAAAAAAAAAAAAAATCACCATTTAGC